GAGAGAGAGAGAGAGAGAGAGAGAGAGAGAGAGAGAGGGAGAGGGAGAAATAAAATCTGAAGCAGGCTCCAGGCTCAGAGCTGTCGGCACAGAGCCCGACCTGGGGCTCAAGCTCACTAACAGGGGGATCATGACCTAAGCTGAAATCGGATGCTCAACGGACTGAGCCATCCAGGCACCCCTTTGCTTTGTATTTAATCAATGTTATTTAAGGAGGAAAAAGTATCTGGGTGACTGTTGCAATTTCTTTGATCCCTCTGAGCTCCATTTCTTCTTTTACAAAGTGAGATTAAATCCTGTGCAAAGGCCCTACAGCTCCCCAGTTTTGTGGGCTCCATATTTTGCTCTTGATTTAAAGAAGTTTGGTTCAATACAAATTTCAAAAAGAATATTTGTACAGTTGGAAATAGAATACAATATAGCAATAAAGTATCCCTAGTAAAATATTTATGGATGTACAATGAATACCATAGTTTTTGTTTGGTTACTGGTTACTGCAACACTTACCCAACTGAATGAATGAATGAATGAATGAATGAATGTTCTTTCTTAAAGTTCTATTTAGAGATAAGCCAAGATATAATAGCAAATTAAGGGAACTCTTTTGTTCTTTAGATACTTAATTTAGCGTGTCAGGATTTGAATATCTTAGAAGTTGGTCCAGGTGTTATGGTAAATGAGAAAGAAATGCCCAGACACTTTAAACACACATTGCACCATATAAGGAATAATTGTTCTGTAAGTGGGGCCCTTAGTAGAACTAATGACTAAAAATCTTTGTGTTTATTGAAACATCAGATACCTTCATTAGCAACTGGAAAGCAAAGCAAATACAGATGAAAAATTTCCCCAAATTTTGTGTTTGATTGACTTTGTTCCATTTTAATACATACCTGAGACATATGAACCATAGTAAAATAAATGTTGATTAATCTCCAGAGAAACTCCTGGTGATACATTTATGGCTTTTAAACAATTCTTATTACTGTACTTTCTCTCTCTCACTTGCAGATTTAGTATCTAGCTTTTCAGTAACTCTTATTTACAAATAAAAAATCAAAGTCCAAAAGTTTTACTATTTCTTTCCAGAGAAAGTTATATATGGCAAAAAAAAAAAAAAAAATGCACAGTATATAATTAATCTTAATCTGGATTCCCCGAAGGCTAAATCATATAAATGTTTGCTAGACACAGATTTTTTTTGTCTCTATCACAAATAGCAAGGGAACTTTTTAAGGACCCCAAATCTGTGTTCCCAAGAAAGGTCTGAAATAGGAGAACCTTGAACTTTAGTGTGAATCACTATAACCTCTGAAATTTATTTAAAGTAGAGAAGGGATAAATACGCTGAGCACAGAGGATTTTTAGGGCAGTGAAACTATCCTATATGATACTATAATGTCATTAAACATTTGTTCAAACTCACAGAATGTACAACACTAAGAATGAACCCTAAAGTAAACTATGGATTTGGGTGATGTGTCAGTAACTATTCATCAATTGTAACAAATGTAACACTCTGGTGGGAGATGTTGATAAAGGTGTAGGTGTGGGGGTAGAAGGCATATGGGAAAACTCTGTCACCTTCCGCTAGATTTGCTTGTGAACCTAAAACTGCTCTAAAAAAATAAAGTCTATTAAAAAAAAAATGGAGGCGCTACGATTCCCTTTTCAGAAATTCTTTTTCAGTGTTCGTGGTGCCCTACATTTTGCACGCTTCCATAGTGACTTCTATGCGTTCTTATAGTAAGAACCACTGATCTGGAATCTGGTCTCACTGTATCTCTGCTTTGCTGAGCTCAGGTTACACAACATACAGTTGGCTCACAGCATTTTCCATATCAAAGGTACCTAATATTCAATCTGTTCTGATCCAGAATGAGTCTAGACTTCCTAAAAAAGGGAAAGCCCAATTTTAAGACCCAACATATTTGTCACCTTGATTTTGATGTTACTTCTGGAACTCAGACAAACCAGCTTCTTGAGGTCAGAAGCAAATAGAATAATTCTGAATTTATAGACACATGGAAGAATATCTTTTAAAATGAGGTCTTAGGGGCGCCTGGGTGGCTCAATCAGTTGAGTGTCCGACTTCAGCTCAGGTCATGATCTCACAGCTCCTGAGTTCAAACCCCACATCAGGCTCTGTGCCAACAGCTCAGAGCTTGGAGCCTGCTTCAGATTCTGTCTCCCTCTCTTTCTGCCCCTCCCCCACTCACGCTCTATCTCTCTGTCTCAAAAATAAGTAAACATTAAAAAAAATTAAAAATTAAAATAAAATAAGGTCTTAACTGTACATGGGTCTAGGAAGAAGCTAAGAAAACTAAAGGCAGCTTCTATAAAGATGTAACATATGATCCAGCGCTAAAATATTGACTGAGTCATAGGTAAGCAGAGAAAAGATAGAAAAATAGTTTTATAAATCATTTCTAATGAAAAAAGCCCTTGAAACCCCATGATGATTGTAAAAGAACACTCCCTGTAAGTGCTTTTGGCAAAAGCCAACATGTTTTGAAAATATTTAATTGTTCATGAATATCTTTAATTAATTTCCATAACTATTGAGCTTGAAACTAAGTAGCAGATTTAGGACTACCCTCATCACCAGATTTGTTGTACTGTTTATATGACTCAGAGATGAGATGGTAACAAGACTATTGAGTTACTATAGAGAAAACAGCACTTAAGTGAGCTTTGTTGGTGGTCCATTTAGACAGATGGCCCACAGTTTCCAGAGCATTTGTGCTTTCTTTAAATAAATACCCCCAACACTGAGGGGGGAAAAAAAACTGAAAAGAAAGGTGGTTAACTTTTTCATTGTGCCAATGATTTATTATTTAAACTTATAACCTACTGGCTTTATTCAAAGGGCTGGTTAAAATTGCACAATACCAGATAATCTATGTCAATCTCTGTATAACATAATTGTATGAAGGACACTGAGGTAGCTAGTTCATTACAGTCTTAGAATGGATTTGCTGCCTTTTAATTTTATGTCTTTGTCTGTTTTTCTTGATGATTCTGTCATTCCTCTGACTTTTGTCAGGGCCACTCTTCAGATATGGACATGTCTACAGAAATGACATTTTAGAAATGTTTATTACTATGTAAATACCCAAAATGTATCCATGAAACTTACCTGATTTCCATAAGCATTATACTCTGAATTTCCATTTTTTGGGAAAAGGATTGAAATCCAAACTCATAAAATCCTAATTTCTTGTTTGACTAATGTATACATTTATAATTTATTAGAGAATTATTTTGTTAATTAATTCATATAAAGGAATTTGAAATATAATATAACGCTTCTTCATCAACAGGTCTCTATGAAGGAATAATGGTGTGAGGATTGTTACCCCTAGAATAAGATATTTTTATAAATCACAATAGGAGAGTTAGCCAAATGCATAGAGTTTGTGAAGGACAACATTTCTCCTGTTTATTTTATAGAAGATTTTGTTTCACAATTTCTCTTTCTTTTTTTTTTTTTTTTTTTTTTTTTTTTTTTTTTGTTTTTGTTTTTGTTTGTTTTAAGCATGATCAATCATCAAGCAGAAAGAACTTGACAAGTTCTCTTGAACAAAAGATAAGGTGCTTGGAAAAACAGAGAAAAGAGGTAATTTACAAATATTAGCTGAAGCAACATGTATCATGAGTTAATGCTGAGAATAAAATAGAGTCTAGAGTCTTTTATTTTTGTTATTGGGTCACAGTATTTATCTCTAGGATTTTGGACTGCATTATTTTGAGAGGAAGTACTTTTTTCTTATTCACCTACATTTCTCTTACCCAGTCTTCCAGTGTTTGTGTAAATGAGTGAAAAATGACAAAGTCATAAATCTAATAATTATCTTAATTTTTCTCAAAACTTAGATGTTTCCTGCACATGGACTATGTGAGCTTATCACCTGTGCCTTATGCCTTGCAACTTGACATACCTTGAAACTCAAACCATCAAAGGCTTTAGGTGTAATTGACTTAGGCGCTATGATTTCATGAACTGGGTATCCAGCCACATAGGGGTTAAGGAGCATTATTGAAAAAAATTTTTTTGTTGTTTATAAAATGCCATTAGGAATGTGATGGATATTATTATGAGTTCTGTTTTTCTGAGTTTAATGAATGTTAGAACCTCTTTATTCTTCTTGAAGATGAAGAAGTGAAAAGTGTAACAATGTTAACACTGTGTATGTTGTCAAATTTTAAATTAGTTTCCTCAACCATTGTATATGTTTTATCCTTCATGTTCTTCTGTATGGTGCCTTCTACTCCTCTTTGATATTACATAAAATATTGTATCCTTCTGGAAAATTATTGAACTATAACAGGGTAATGTTACCATGGCATAGAAATGTTAATCCTTAAAATGCCAACAGATATCTTTATATAATAATATAATATAGTCTCTACTAAATACCCATAGCTATTTCCAGCATAAGATTTACCTAGGGACTGGGTGTCTGGATTAGATATTTTGTTTTATAATTAGGAGAATATGTTGCTTCCTTTTAGTCATTGTAACTATCTTCTCAATCTCTGTCCCATGTTGAAAGTGTTGGAATTTCTCTTGATGTAGGAAGTTACAGGCTTCCCTTACAAGAAAACTAAAACACAGGACATAGTTTTTTTTCTTCCTTTTATTTAGCACATAATTTTAAAGCTTCTAAATTGCAGCCTAAATTATTTCTAAATATTCTTATGACAAAACTATTATTCCTTGAAAATCTATAATTTCAAAACGGTGACATTATCCATTCATTACATATACATTACAAGTCATGTGTTGATTTTAAAAAGCACAATATTGCAAGCACATGATGGTAAGTTATCGGGATTTGGAATTTGTTAATATAAATTCTGCTTTAGAAAAGCTAGAAGAAATATTTAATTATAATAATCAGTGTAAGCACACAGAAAAATATGAAAGGTTTGAAAAAGACCCTCATATATTAATAAATCTTACAGAAAACCATCAATACTCCCAAAGTTTTACTGGATTTTGATTGTACTAAACAAAGATGAAAATTTCAAATAACAAGCAAAGTTGAAAGTTCTAATAACAGTTCAGCTGACTAGTCAAGATGTACGTAAGGCTAAATGGTTTTTCATATGTTAGCCAGTTATGAAAAGACGGAGTGTGCTCAATTCAATCGCCCCAGCCCTACAAGAACTTGGTGGAAGGAATATTGTGTTCAACCGTGGCTTGCAAATCTTACTAGCCCCCCAAAAGTGATTTCATTTTGGCCAAATTTCCAAATGGGCAGAAATCCATATTGATTCACCAAATTTTAATAATTTCAGCTCCTAGAAGTTAACCAGCAATGGGATCAGCAATTTAGAAGTATGAAAGAGTTATATGAACGAAAGGTAAACACATCTCTGTTTAGTATTTGCTTTAGATCAGTAAGCTGGGGGACCAAGTCTGTGAAGATTCTCACTGGTTTCAGCTGAAGGAGACATGTGGCTAGCCAACTGTTGAAAAAATGATGGGGGGGGGGG